CAAAACCCCAAAACCCCAAAACCCCAAAACCCCAAAACCCCAAAACCCCTTCAAGCTAATCGAGTGAGGAATCGTAGTATGATGATAATTAGAAAAAAATTCAAATAAATGTGAATAATCTACAAATGGGTTAGGTTGTGCAATTTTAAATTATTATTCTTATCTTTATATATTACTATTCATTGCTAATGCTGCAATAGGATGAATTTACTTTTGCGCATTATTTAATTATCATTCGGCCTTGCTCTAGTATGAGTTATTTTATCCTCAAAAACATGACTTAGGTTATTTCCTACATTACCATTTATTTGCTTTCCGTTTTCCATACTAGCTCTCAATAGTTACTGCTAGAAAACCTTACTGTTATCATTATTCTTTTGCAAATATTGCTATTTAAGTAGAAAGTTTTCTATCTAAGCTTAGTAAGTGTTTTCGTTATGCTACCCATTAATATTTGGAGATATTTTACTCATCTTCGGTATCCTAAATTTTCCTTTTTTGGCATCAGTTTTTACGTGCTTAATTAAAGGAATAGGCATATACTGATTGTTAAGGATCTATATTTAATTGAAATTTTTCTATTCAATGTAAATATTCGTTGTATTTGTTCCATCCCCACTTTTCCGGTTAGCATTGGTTATCTTACTGATCTGATATTAAAGCAGTGGTGTGTAATTATTGTTAATAAGGTAGTCTTGTGATGGTGATTAATCTAAAATGCTTCCTTTCTACTCAAAGAAAATGTTTACAGTTTTTGAAATTTCATCACTTGACTAAGATAGTTTATTAAGATGAAGTCTCTTTATTTGTTTAAGAGGTAGTAAATCATGTTCAATATCTCCATTATATGTATTAAGAGAAACATATTCATTTTCTATATCAATATGATGTCCTACTTAGCTACTTGCTAGAGACCTTGGACTTTTTAAAAAGCAAGGAGTCTTAGCGAATGATTCAACTCTCATTCTTTTGTAGTTGAGGGTCCCATTCTGATCTTAAGATCCAAAATCTTTCGACATTTGACCCTACGATCCCAAAGTTTGAGTATTTGAGTCACTTTGATTATAAAGGTCATCAACTAATAAATCACTGTATAAGTCTCTTGCGTTTAAATATTCAGTTACTTGTTAATCTAGCTTTACTGGTCCCTTTACAGTTTTCTTATCAGCTTTAAATTGCTAAGATTAAAGAAATTTCTATGCTTATTTATTATTCATTAGTAGAGATGCTTCATTATCTTCATCTCCTTCTGTATTTGTTGCAATAATGTAGTTTACATCGAGATAATCAGAATGCTCTCTCTTTGTTTTTGATTTCTTAAAATCCTTTTTGTTCTACCTCGATCTGCTTTATTCTTTGCTCTCTAAAAGATTAGCTGCTGGCTAGTCCTGATAAAATTTAGGGGAAATTTAGCCAAAAGAAAACTAGTTAATTCTTCCTTATTTTGTCTTCGTATTAATCTGATTTTAATCAGCCAAATTTTTAACATTTTGCCTTTGATTCAATTTGTTAGTGTCTGTTTAGCACTCACCTTAAAGTCCTTAAATATTCTTTTTAATTTGCATATTATCATTTTCAAGTGTATCTACATCATTTTATTCCTAGTCATTTATAGGTATTGTTTCAAGGGGACTTATAGGATCATCACCACTCTATTCATCTTGATCAAAAACTATTAAAGTTTTTTTAAATTATGGACTCATGAACAAATCTTCATCTTAATTTGAATCTATTGATATTAATTTTTATTTATCATTTTGACAAGAAAACTGCCTCTAAAGTAGGTTTTTTTCTTGTAGTTTAGTTTAAACAGTCTTTATAATATTGTTAATCTTCTCTTTTTTAGTATTTGCAAAGTGATTCAATAGAGAGCTTTGATTGAGATAAGGAGATTATTGAACAGATTTATTTGATTAAATATTCTTTATCTCTTCCGAATCTGACTCCTATTATTGTGATGTAACTTAAGACAACTTAACTAAGCCATTAAGCTAATATTACTATTGAAGCTATGAATCATTTTTTTTTATCTCATCTTTTATTTATTGGATTCTCTACTCTTTTTAGAATTATTTCAAGAGGTTAAATTGCTGCATAGCTATCTTATCTTTCTTTTTTATACTTTTAATATTTAGATCTTTTTATGGAGAGAAACTGCTCGCATTTATTGAACTGAGCTATTACTATTGCAGTTGGTCTGCATTTCTTTTGCTAAAAAGATTAGTTTGTTGTTACTATTTTTAAAATTACGATTAATTGACTGTATTTATTAAGTTAGCATAAGCAGGGTTACTGAATAATGGATGATTTTATTGAGATTATGATTGAGATTGGTTAGATTATATATTCTACTTGTTTTACTATCTGATTTTTAAATTTTCGTGAGAAAGTTATTGTAAATGAAATTTAAGCATGGCCTATTGGTTTACTTCTTATGATTAAGAGGAAACGTTAGACGTATTATTTTGCAATTATTACTTCATGCTATGTTAAATTATCAAATTTCTTTGAGCGATAGGAGTCGAATTTGCATTAGTATTTTGATTTATAAAGCTATTTTTAAACTGATTGTAGTTGTTTTAGTTAGGTATTAAGAAAGATTGAGATATTTCATTTGAGGATTTGTTATTTTGAAGCTGTTTCAGTTCCTTCAAATACTATATATCACTATTTCTAGTTGGCGTCTTAGATTGCTTGATAGGTTCAATAATATGTCTTTACTGACTATTTTGATTTCTTTGCTTTGTTTCCCTACTACTAACGAGTCATCTTTATTAGTTATTTACAGTGACATAAAGATTTTGATCTTTATTTGTTTAGCCTCCTGCTATTGCAGATTTTCCTGGGTTTATAGGTGAAAATTGCAATCCAGGATAGTTTATTGTATTCATTTAGTTTTGAGATGGCTATAAAAGTGTACTTCTATTATTGCCAGTTTGCTGAGCAAGACTCTAAGGAAGAATGATAGGTCCTTAATTTTGTAGCGGCTGCACAGACTATTTCCTATTTGTAAGTTTATTCTTAATCTTCCTTGGTTTCATAAAGTCATTAGCATTGTTATCTTTCTTTAGTGGATTCATTTAATTAATTTACATAGTTATAATTAATAATTTTTTGTACTTGAATTTAACTGATTAACTCAAAAATAATTTAATTTATTAGATAAGAGTCTTGGGAAGCATGAGTGACCTAGATAGAAGTAATCATCCGCTCTAAAAATGTCATTTTGATCTCTGAATGCCTCATAAGCTTCAACTTCTTTTTGGTTCTCAGTACTATCCTTTTAACTCTACCCAATTACTACATCTTTTTGATACTCATTTTAATCTGATTCTCATTAGTTCCATATCTCATTATCATAGAGTCTCTCTAAGTTGGGCTTTGGCAGGTTCTCTGGCTAAATTAATGGGAATTCATCTCTGAATAGATTTGGATCATTAAAGTTCATCTTCTCCACTAAATCAAGACGATTCATTTAAAGGAACGAAGATCTGATATATCTCCAAATATGTTTTGCTTGAGGATTAAGGAGCAATGCATTAAGGAAGTATGGAATAGATTCTGGGAATCTTGCTTGATTACGATGAGCTAGTCCAATATTTGCTAAAGTTCTAACATAATTTGGTCTAAGGTCAATCGCCTGATGATATGTCTTAATTGCTCTCTCAATATCATGATTATTAGCTAGAGCTGCTCCATATTTGTTCCAAAGAGTATGATCTGTAGGGTTCTCACGAATACCATTTTAGAAATGAGTTACAGCTTCTGCAAAATTTCTCTAAATGAAGCATAAGACTCCCATGGCAAGGCAGAGATTAGAATCTTTAGGATTCATTTAAAATGCTCTGACATAAGCTTCTCTCAAATTATCGAAATCAAGATCATCAGCTTGAATACCGGGCAATACGCTGTACTCAGGATGATATTTAAGATAACTATGCAAATGTCTTGTTGCTTCTTTTTGCTCAAGCTCATTAGTGCAACTAATACCTAAACATAATAGAGAGTCTAAATCGTATGGATCTATCTCATATGCCTTTTTAAAAGCAAGAATAGCATAATCATCTTAATCATTTTCTTGATAGAGCTGACCCATCAACCTCCATGCCTCTGCATTCTCAGCGTTTTTCTAAACCTCAGCTTATAAACAGAATATTGCTTCTTAGGTCTTTCCATCCTCAACTAATTGCTTTGCTAACTTAAGTGTGTTTTCCATTTCTGAATACTTGTTATTCGCTTCAAAAGGAATCACATCAACCTAAGCTGGTTCTTCTTGCTGCCATTATTTACCCCACTCCTCCATAAATAGTTCGTTGAACTTTTCATCTTATCCTTCTTCATCCCATTAATTCATCATTTGGTCAACTAAAAGATAATTATTCATAAATAGACCTACATTAATCGTCAGTGACTTCTTCTTCACTGTTCCAAAGTTTCTTGAACAAATCAGTCTTAGTGTCTATCTATTCACCCTTGCTCTCTTCTTACGTTCTTTAAGCTTCTTGCTGCTATCTTTCTTGATCCAATTTCTTAAATTCTTCTAGTTTTTCTGGAACCTTAACTAGCTATTCATTTTCAATGGTGTATGCTCCATGCTCAAGCTTCTTCAAAAACTTAAGGAATTTACTATTTCTGTGCTTTGGATTTTCAGAGGATTCAAGAGTCATAACAATATTACTAGTGGTTGCTTTAATCTCATTTTTAATCAGATTCTCTTCATTTTAAGGAGGGAATTCATCTATCAGGACTGGTTCTTTGTTGGTTGAGGTATCAATCTAAGTCTCACCTGGCTGCTATTGGAACTATCTTTATTGCATCATTGGATTCTGATATAGTGGTGTTGACATCATTGGATTCATCCAAGGTTGATGGAAAGCTCCCATCATTCCTGGAATTTATTGGTCCTACTGATTCTCAAATTGTGGTTGCGTGGACTACGTCATAGATTAATCCCAAATAGAATTCATCTCAGTTTAGAAGTTAGGTCTATTCTATATGTGTTAGAAGTAGTTTTGCTGCTATTGAATTGTTTGACTCTCCTATATTCTTAATCTTTCAAATTCCTATTCTATATTCGAATCAAATTCTACCCAAACTGCTTACGCATAAAATCTTAATTCATCATCCCTGCATACTATTGCTCAAGAAATTGCATATTTTGATTATTCATTTGTATTTGATATCCTTCTGACATTTATCTATATTTTACTCTACTAACTATCAATCTTACTTTCCCATTGCTGAAGAATTAATAAACTGGTCTATCATTCCAGTAAAAGCGTTCTATCTAAGTCCTCCATCCATACCATCTGGCTGGCAGGCACCGCCTGTCATTGCTTATTTAAATGCCATTTTACTTATGCGTGTTATTTTTAACTAGTATTATGATATTTGTGATTTAATAAATAAATTTCTAGATATAGATGATGATTAAGATTAAAAAATGATATTTTACTTTTGTATTTCTACTATCTACTACAATGTTAAATTTTTGCATTCCGGGGTTTTGGGGTTTTGGGGTTTTGGGG